GTAGGGGGGGGGGAGCGGGGAGGGGTGGGGAGGGGGGGGGCGCGCGGGGGGGTGAGGGGGCGGATATAGGTTGGGGAATGTGGAGGACGTCCCGGGAGATGCGGAGATAGTGATGCGGGGTGGGAAGGGAGGGCTTAGTGATGTGCAGGGTGCTGGGCGCGGAGGGTTAGTGAATGGGGGTCGGGTAGGGAGGAGCGGGGGGCGAGGCAGAATGTGGGGTTGGCGGAGAATTGGGGGATATATCTGAATGCTGGTGTCGGGGATGAGAAGAGAATAGTGGAATGCAGGGTCCGGGGAGCCTCAGCGGAGATAGTGAATGCGGGGAGAGGCCGGGGAGAGCGGATATAGTGAATTGCGGGTCCGGGGAGAGGCGGGATATAGTGAATGCGGGGATCCCGGGGAGAGAAGATATAGTGAATGCAGGGTCCGGGGGAGAGCGGATATAGTGATGGGGGGGGGTCCGGGGAGAGCGGATATAGTGAATGCGGGGTTCCCGGCGAGAGCGGGATATAGTGATGCGGGGTCCGGGGAGAGAAGAAATTTATGAATGCAGGGTCCGGGAGAGCGGATATAGTGAATGCGGGTCCCGGGGAGAGCGGATATAGTGAATGCGGGGTCCCGGGGAGAGCGGATATAGTGAATGCGAGTTCCGGGGGGAGAGCGGATATAGTGAATGCGGGTCCGGGAGAGCGGATATAGTGAATGCGGGGTCCGGGGGAGAGAAGATATAGTGAATGCAGGGTCCGGGGAGAGCGGATATTCGTGAATGCGGGGTCCGGGGAGAGCGGATATAGTGAATGCGGGGTCCGGGGAGAGCGGATATAGTGAATGCGGGGTCCGGGGAGAGAAGATATAGTGAATGCAGGGTCCGGGAGAGCGGATATAGTGAATGCGGGGGTCCGGGGAGAGCGGATATAGTGAATGCGGGGTCCGGGAGAGCGGATATAGTGAATGCAGGGTCCGGGGAGAGCGGATATAGTGAATGCAGGATCCAGGGGGAGAGCGGATATAGTGAATGCGGGGTCCGGGGAGAGCGGATATAGCGAATGCAGGGTCCGGGGAGAGCGGATATAGTGAATGCAGGGTCCGGGGAGAGCGGATATAGTGAATGCAGGGTCCGGGAGAGCGGATATAGTGAATGCGGGGTCCGGGGAGAGCGGATATAGTGAATGCGGGGTCCGGGGAGAGCGGATATAGTGAATGCGGGGTCCGGGGAGAGCGGATATAGTGAATGCGGGTCCGGGGAGAGCGGATATAGTGAATGCGGGGTCCGGGGAGAGCGGATATAGTGAAATTTTGTTTTCAGTAAACCTGGATCCTCGCTATTTTCCCTCTTTTCTTTCTCTCGCTGTTTTTAAGGAACTGTTACAAGACTTGTCCTTTTTTTTTTCTTTGGTGTTTTTATTCTTTTGGTGCCTTATAAATCCCGGACGTGCCTTGCAATCGATACGTGTTTTGGCAGAGCGGGTTCACATTTACGAGTCGCCTCGCGTTTATATCCTGCAAGTTTTCCGAAAAATATAAAACAGAGACGGGGAAACCCGAGCAGCTGGAAACCCGAGCAGCAGTTCTGGCAGCCGAAGGGTCAAAGCGGAGCCTGCTGTGGGGAAGGTGCAGAGGAGGAGGAAGTCTCCCCTTCTCGGCTCTGACACAGTTTAGCACCCTTGCGGTTGAACTTTCATGCGTCCTACAGGTGTTACACAGATGAGGATGACGCCATGGAATATTTTATCAGTGAAGACATGGCAGGGTCTTAGGGTCAGAGATAGCTGGAATATATCGCGCCTTGACATCTGCTTCAACAAAAGATTGTTTAGAAAAAAAAAAAAAAATTTTTTTTTTTTTTTTTTTTTTTTTTTTTTAAATTGGACCTTTTCACTTAACTTTTTTTACACAAGGAAGCAATTGGACGAGTTGAATTTTTGATCAAAAGCTTGAAAGAAAATGAATTTTTTTTATGTCATTTTTTGGAATATCCCAAGATGATGTAGAAATAATAATAATAATAATAATAATAATAATAATACTTATTATTTAATTTAATTTATTTTTGCTACAGATACTTATATAGCGCCGGCAGTTTACGGTTCAAGATGAGCTAAATATTTTACATTTTCCTCCTAAAATCCTTTTTTACAGCATTTTTAATAATATTAATAATAATAATAATAATAATAATATAAACATTTAAAAAAAAAACAATTAAAAATATAAAATTTGAGTATTTTTGAAGCTTAGGTTCCTGAGTAGTAATGGGTTATGTTCTAAGCTATCGTTATTAGTTTTGGGTTCTGGGTGAGGTTTAGGATGAGCTAAATATTTTTTTTTACTTAAAATGTTTTTGTTTTTTAAATTTAGGGTTCAAGATGAGCTAAATATTTTACATTTTCCTCCTAAAATAATTTTTTACAGCATTTCTATTATTATTATTATTATTATTAATAATAAAAATAATAACATTTTAAAAACAGTTAACAATAAATAATTTGAGTATGTTTGAGGCTTAGGTTCCTGAGTAGTAATGGGTTATGTTATAAAATAGTTATTAGTTTTGGGTTCTGGGCGAGGGTTTAGGATGAGTTATATATTTTTTTTTGCTTAAAATTTTTTTTTTTTTTTTTAAATTTAAGGTTCAAGATGAGCTAAATATTTTACGTGGGTGAGGTTTAGGAGGGGCTAAATTTTTTTTTTTTTTTTGCTTAAAAATGTTTTTTTTTTATTTATTTAAGGTTCAAGATGAGCTAAATATTTTACATTTTCCTCCTAAAATCCTTTTTTACAGCATTTTTAATAATTAATAATATTATTAATTTATAATAATAAAAATAAAAATTTAAAAAAACAATTAAAAATATAAAATTTTAGTTTGTTTGAGGCTTATGTTCCTGAGTAGTAATGGGTTATGTTATAAGCTATAAACATTTATAAAAATTTGGGTTCTGGGTGAGGTTTTTTGTTCTATGAGGTTTAGGATGAGCTAAATATTTTTTTTTGCTTAAAAATGTTTTTTTTTTTTTTTTTATTTAAAAGGTTCAAGATGAGCTAAATATATTAAACATTTTCCTCCTAAAATCATTTTTTACAGAATTTTTTTAATATTATTATTATTAATAATAATAATAAATAATAAATAATAATAATAAATAAACATTTAAAAAAAAAATTAAAAATATAAAATTTATGTGTATTTTTGAGGCTTAGGTTCCTGAGTAGTAATGGGTTATGTTCTAAGCTATCGTTATTAGTTTTGGGTTCTGGGTGAGGTTTTAGGATGAGCTAAATATATTTTTTTTACTTAAAATGTTTAATATAAACATTTAAAAAAAAATATAAAAAATATAAATGTTGTTTTTTAAATTTAGGGTTCAAGATGAGCTAAATATTTTACATTTTCCTCCTAAAATAATTTTTTACAGCATTTCTATTATTATTATTATTATTATTATTAATAATAAAAATAATAATAACATTTTAAAAAAAAATAATTAACAATATATTATTTGAGTTTGTTTGAGGCTTAGGTTCCTGAGTAGTAATGGGTTATGTTATAAGCTATAGTTCTTAGTTTTTTAGGGTTCTGGGCGAGGTTTAGGAGGGGCTAAATTTTTTTTTTAAAATTATGTTTTTTTTTTTTTACATATTTAAGGTTCAAGATGAGCTAAATATTTTACATTTTCCTTCTAAAATCTTTTTTTACAGCATTTGTAATAATAAGATATTAATAATAATAATAATAATAATAAATAATAATAAATAATAATATAAACATTTAAAAAAAACTATAAAAAATATAAATTTGAGTATGTTTGAGGCTTAGGTTCCTGAGTAGTAATGGGTTATGTTATAAGCTATAGTTATTAGTTTTGGGTTCTGGGCGAGGTTTAGGATGAGTTATATATTTTTTTTGCTTAAAATGTTTTTTTTTTTTTTTTAAATTTAAGGTTCAAGATGAGCTAAATATTTTACGTGGGTGAGGTTTAGGAGGAGCTAAATTTTTTTTTTTAAATGTTTTTTTTTATTTTATTTAAGGTTCAAGATGAGCTAAATATTTTACATTTTCCTCCTAAAATCATTTTTTACAGCATTTCTATTATTATTAATATTATATATTATTATTAATAAATAATAATAATAAAAACATAAAAAAAAAAACTATTACAAATATATGTAATTTGAGTTTGTTTGAGGCTTAGGTTCCTGAGTAGTAATGGATTACTGTCTAAGCTATAGTTTATAGTTTTGGGTTCTGGGTGAGGTTTAGGATGAGCTAAATATTTATTCTTTCCTTAAAATGTTTTTGTTTTTTAAATTTAAGGTTCAAGATGAGCTAAATATAAAACATTTTCCTCCTAAAATCATTTTTTACAGCATTTCTTTATTATTATTAATATTATTATTAATAATAAAAATAATAATAAACATTTAAAAAAACAATTAAAAATATATAAATTGAGTTTGTTTGAGGCTTAGGTTCCTGAGTAGTACTGGGTTATGTTCTAAGCTATCGTTTATAGTTTTGGGTTCTGGGTGAGGTTTTCGGATGAGCTAAATATTTTTTTTTGCTGAAAATGTTTTTGTTTTTTAAATTTAAGGTTCAAGATGAGCTAAATATAAAACATTTTCCTCCTAAAATCATTTTTTTTACAGAATTTTTAATATTATTTAATAATAATAATAATAAAAAAACATTTAAAAAACAATTACAAATATATTATTTGAGTATGTTTGAGGCTTAGGTTCCTGAGTAGTAATGGGTTATGTTATAAGCTATAGTTCTTAGTTTTGGGTTCTGGGTGAGGTTTAGGAGGGGCTAAATATTTTTTTTTTTTTAATGTATTTTTTTTTAATTTAAGGTTCAAGATGAGCTAAATATTTTACATTTTCCTCCTAAAATCCTTTTTTACAGCGTCTTTAATAATAATAATAATAATAATAATAATAACATTAAAAAACAATTAAAAATATAAAATTTGAGTATGTTTGAGGCTTATGTTCCTGAGTAGTACTGGGTTATTTTATAAGCTATCGTTTATAGTTTTGGGTTCTGGGTGAGGTTTAGGATGAGCTAAATATTTTTATTTTTGCTTAAAATGTTTTTTTTTTTTTTTTTAAATTTAAGGTTCAAGATGAGCTAAATATTTTACATTTTCCTCCTAAAATCATTTTTTACAGCATTTCTATTATTATTTATTATTATTAATAATAAAAATAATAATATTTAAAAAAAAAAACTATTAAAAATATATAATTTGCGTTTGTTTGAGGCTTAGGTTCCTGAGTAGTAATGGATTATGTTCTAAGCTATAGTTTATAGTTTTGGGTTCTGGGTGAGGTTTAGGATGAGCTAAATATTTTTTTTTACTTAAAATGTTTGTTTTTGTTTTTTAAATTTAGGGTTCAAGATGAGCTAAATATTTTACATTTTCCTCCTAAAATAATTTTTTACAGCATTTCTATTATTATTAATATTATTATTAATAATAAAAAATAATAATAACATTTAAAAAAACAATTAAAAATATATAAATTGAGTTTGTTTGAGGCTTAGGTTCCTGAGTAGTACTGGGTTATGTTCTAAGCTATCGTTTATAGTTTTGGGTTCTGGGTGAGGTTTAGGATGAGCTAAATATTTTTTTTTTGGTGAAAATGTTTTTGTTTTTTAAATTTAAGGTTCAAGATGAGCTAAATATATAACATTTTCCTCCTAAAATAATTTTTTACAGAATTTTTAATATTATTATTATTAATAATAATAATAATAATAATAATAAAAACATTTAAAAAAAAAATTACAAATATATTATTTGAGTATGTTTGAGGCTTAGGTTCCTGAGTAGTAATGGGTTATGTTTATAAGCTATAGTTCTTAGTTTTGGGTTCTGGGTGAGGTTTAGGAGGGGCTAAATATTTTTTTTTTTTAATGTATTTTTTTTAATTTAAGGTTCAAGATGAGCTAAATATTTTACATTTTCCTCCTAAAATCCTTTTTTACAGCGTCTTTAATAATAATAATAATAATAATAATAAATAATAACATTAAAAAAAACAATTAAAAATATATAATTTTAGTATGTTTGAGGCTTAGGTTCCTGAGTAGTACTGGGTTATTTTATAAGCTATCGTTTATAGTTTTGGGTTCTGGGTGAGGTTTAGGATGAGCTAAATATTTTTTGCTTAAAATATTTTTGTTTTTTAAATTTAAGGTTCAAGATGAGCTAAATATTTTACATTTTCCTCCTAAAATCATTTTTTACAGCATCTCTATTATTATTAATATTATTATTATTATTATTATTATTATTATTATTAATAATAAAAATAATAATAACATTTAAAAAAAAACAATTAAAAATATATAATTTGAGTTTGTTTGAGGCTTAGGTTCCTGATTAGTAATGGATAATGTTCTAAGCTATAGTTTATAGTTTTGGGTTCTGGGTGAGGTTTAGGATGAGCTAAATATTTTTTTTTTTTGCTTTAAAATGTTTTTTTTTTTTTGAAATTTAGGGTTCAAGATGAGCTAAATATTTTACATTTTCCTCCTAAAATCATTTTTACAGCATTTCTATTATTATTATTATTATTATTATTATTATTATTATTAATAATAATAAAAATAATAATATTTTAAAAAAAAACTATTAAAAATATATAATTTGAGTTTGTTTGAAGCTTAGGTTCCTGAGTAGTAATGGGTTATGTTCTAAGCTATCGTTTATAGTTTTGGGTTCTGGGTGAGGTTTAGGATGAGCTAAATATTTTTTTTTTGCTTAATTTTTTTTTAACAGCTTTTATTGTGTTTTATTATTTATTCACACGCAAAAAAAAAAAAAATAAATTAAATTAAAATACGAGGGTTTTTTCAAAAGTTTCCACATTATTTTAAACTCTACTATATAGTGCGGAACTTTTTTTTGAAGACCCTCGCCCCCCCCGTATTATAACATTTGAATATGTCTGAGGTTTAGGTTGTGATGTCCATAATGGTCCAAGCGATAGTTTACATTTTTGGGTGGTGGATAAAGTCCAGAACGACAACAGCTCACTTCGCGACTAGTAGTTTTTTTTTTTTTTTTTATTTGATACGCCATATTTTTTTTTTCAGTATGATAATTTGCCTTTTTTTCAGTTTAATTCGAGGTGTCTTTCAAGTGTGAAATTTCTTGGCGCTAGTACTGGATGAACCTAAACCTACTTCACCGCATTTTTTTTTTTTTTTGAACAAAAATAACAACCTGCTAATTTAAGTTGGCGTGTATCGTTAGCAAGATTTTTTTTTTTTTTTTTTTTTTTTTTAAAGGCTGTATAATTGGGTGGTGGATAAGGTCCAGAATGACAACTGCTTACTTCGTGACTAGTAGTTTTTTTTTTTTTGTTTTTTTTTAAATTTAATACGCCATATTTTTTTTTTCAGTATGATAATTTGCCTTTTTTCAGCTTTCTAAGAGGTGTCTTTCAAGTATGAAATTTCTTGGCACTAGTACTGGATGAACCTAAACCTACCGCACCGCATTTTTTTTTTCTTGAACAAAAATAACACCCTGCTAATTTAAGTTGGCGTGTATCGTTGGCAAGATTTTTTTTTTTTTTTTTGGAAAAAAAAAAATCTGTATAATTTGACGTTTGTATGGATTTATCTATAAAATAGATTCAGCGGAGCTATTTTTACCTCTAGAAGAAATACGAAGGAAAGTAGAGGAGAGATTGTGCCTAACTACAGTAGAAGTAGCTGAAGCTGTCGAAAAATTAGATTTTCCATAAAAATAATTCCAACCCTAAGCTGGACCAGGATTTTATTTTTAGTGCCACGACAAAGTGTCAATAATTGTTGATCCCGCCAGTAGATTGGATATTTTTCCATGTATCCAGAAGCCCTTATAAAAAAATCCCTTCACCTCTAGAACCAATATGATCCACCATTGTGTTTTTTTTTTTTTTTGTGACACCAACAAAAAACACAAGTTGGGGGATCATGTCGGAAGATCAATTTTCAACATCTCAACAGATGAAACAAGCAGTAGAAAAATAAAGTGTACTGAGGGCGGGAGGGGGACCCTGAACCCTTTATTTAGG